ATGACCGGTTTCCGTCCACAGACCCCGTGAATGGTGAACGGGGGGTACGGCACTGGGGGGCATATGGAAGAAAAAATAGGCTCTCTCACTCAACGTATSAAGGTTCGCTGGGGATCAAAACAGACTGAGATTCATTCTACCCTGGAACTACRTATCGCCAACTTGAAGCCTTGTGTACGAATAGCCCTCCTGTTTTGTCACGGTCATGATGGAGCCCCCATTACCATCATCTTCGATGAGCTTCATCASACCCTGCACAACAGTCTCCATGGGGATGTAATCTGCAAAGGCAGCGAAGTCCATTGGTGCCTTCTGCGCAGCCAGAATTAGGGTGGGGCACGAYGATAGGAAATCAGTGTCTACGGACGATGGGCACAATGCGCAAACTCGGATACCTCTGTCTCTCTCCAGGTGTGCCAGACACCTTGTCAGCATAACCACACCTGCTTTAGTTGCTGAGTACACAGGTAGCGCAGGGAACGGGCTCAGCGCCGCGGACGACGCTACATTTACGATCACCCTCTTCACAGCGGCGCTCTTCCCTTCTTCGCCGCTCGGATCCTGTGTGTTCCTCGGTGCCCTTGCCATGCATTCGACTGCCAAGCGCACACCATCAACCACAGCTTTCAGGTTCACATCAATCGTTTTGCTCCATGGGCTGCCCTCAGCTGGCACCAGTGGAAGCTCCTCTGTCGTCGACTCASCCCGGCGGTCCAACGCATCATCATGACCGTGTTGCAGCTGTGAAAAATCGACATCGGCCCCGATTCCCGCATTGTTGATACAAATATCAAGGCGCTTAAAAGTGTCCATGTGTGCAGTGAAGGCCTGAGCAAGCTGCCGAGGGCATGCAACGTCACACTTTACGAAGATTGCCGCACTTCTGCCGTCACCTGTCTGATCAGCCTCAGCCTCTTGCCTCCTCATGTCCTGGATCAGCCGAGCCGTCTCTGCTCCTCCAGCCTCTAAGATATCCACCACTGTCACCCTCGCTCCCAGCTCGGCCAAGCGCATTGCTATTGCCCGACCAATTCCCCGCCCTGCCCCGGTAACTAAAGCAGCTGTTGCACGCGTCACCTCCATAGTCCGCAGCGAGATGGACACGACAAATTTGATTCAGTTTTGATATAAATTTAACCTAAAGATTATACATTCAATTTGATTGCTTCTCCCGACCACCTGCACTTGCTTGGTTCGTTGTCAAAACCTGAAAAAGGCAAAGATTTTCACAGCTGTCAGTACGACAAACTTCACACTACTCCCCTGCCCCGGGGCCATTTCCGGTCGGGGTATATTGCAAACTTTAAGATGGGGTTCCAACGGACGCCAGGGGTATTTCACATAATATGTTTTTGGTCAGAGGGGCATTCCGCTCTACCCAGATCTTTCAGGGGGATTTTGGCATATATCTCAACTTATGGGGGTATTTTGCAAATCATCCCTATTTTATATTGTTTCCGTAATTTCATTTTCAAAGAAGTTATGTTATGCCCCTCAACCATGCATTTATTTGTGAAAAGTCATAAAAACTCCCTGGGACGAAACCWTTGTATCCATTTCCCCCCAAACGGGAAAAAAGTGGCCCCCAAGATCACTTTCTCCCTCATTTTTGCACTCTCCTGCAAAACACTTTCCCGCCATTTTACACAGTGGTCGTTACCGGCCCAAMCAGGGTGCAAAAATGACACCAAAAGTGAGTTTGGGACCTGTGGCACTTTGGTCCCCGTTTGGGGGGAAATGGATACAAAGGTWTCGTCGCAGGGAGGTTTTACGACTTTTTCCCATTTATTTGCGTTTTTTGCAAACTGTCAGACTGAGTTCTCTGTGGAATGCGCCCTGCCTCGTTGGCAGGCCGCAAAACCAAAATTGAAAACACAAACTTACCCTGCCATGCCCACGGCCCCAGAAATCTTTTACACAGGCCACTGTCGGAAGAAGGCAACTTTGCGCCACATCCTTGGTGAATCAAAGGTCGGAGCCCCGTCAGTCCTGGTGCTTCATGCCCACATAGGCCCCACCTGCGGCACAATCTTTTGTTATGCCCCGTGTTGATTGGGGTGACCCGCAGTCGTGCTTCCACGTGCCCCCAAGTCACACAATGTGACACAAAGAGCCAGAGACTCTCTCTCTCTCTCTGTTACATGTTGTACAGGCCCCAACCTGTTTCCCTACAGGGAAACTTCCAGGCTCTTGCCTAGAAGCTTGCTTCTGACAGGGCCTACAGGCCCCAGCCTGTTTCCCTACAGGGAAACTTCCAGGCTCTTGCCTGGAAGCTTCCTTCTGACAGGGCCTACAGGCCCCACCCTGTTTCCCTACAGGGAAACTTCCAGGCTCTTGCCTGGAAGCTTCCT